CTCTCTCTCTCTCTCTCTCTCTCTCTCTCTCACACACACACACACACACACACACACACACACCTCTGAGTAAATCACAGAATTCCCTCTAGAATCTTGACTGATCGAATAGCCTTGACTTCTTATACCAAAAGCAAGACTGGAGACCGGGTAGAAACATCCCACAATCAAACCTCTTGGGAAATGCAAACGAGCTCTCAGCCATCTTTTTCGACTGCAACATTTCCCAAAAACACAAGCCTTGTGCAGCTGGCATGGAATGTCTGAATAACCAACACGTGGAGGGGGAAACAGGACTGAGCCAAACACAGTCATCAGTAGGGCTGGTCCCGCTCCAACTCTTTATTTGACGTTGGCATATCTCAGACTTTTGCCAAACTGAAGCTAACGTGCCGTCCGACCTGGCAGCCTTTTGAAATTTTTGCTTGTTGACATCTGTAAGGGGGTTGGGAGCAACGTGGAAAAGCAGTCTGCACATGCACAGAAGTATCTATAGCAATTGCTCCCCTGTGTTGCTAGGCTGAGCTTGGGCATTGTAGACTAGCTCGAAGGCTGTTCTCTGAGCCTCTGAATCCAGAACGGTCGTGACTTTGGACCTGAAATGGAGTACATCAGACCCTTGTGCGGAAATGAAGCATACATGTAAAGTACCCGTGAAAAATAACGACATTTACTTGGGAGTCAAGTCACACAGATTTTCAGGAAATGAAACAGCCTGGTGTCGGATCGCCCCTTACAGAACGCTGATTAGCAAAGGTACTTCCTTACTTCCCATAACGCCCAAGCAAGAAAGTTTTAAAAAAGTGAAATGACTTCTGAAAAAACTACTCCGCTTATGAAAAAGTTCTCAAGCCAGACCTTTCGCGTACTCACTGGGCGCTGACAAGGATTTCTCCGCGCAAGGGCAAAAACGCTCTGCTTGAGCACAAAAGACACGCTCGTCTAATCTTGCTGCGCCCCAAAACTTCCACATCCGAACCTGGAACCTCTGGGGCACAACTTTCCACAGCAGAAAGCCGGCTCTACTTAAAGCCCTGCTTTCCCCCAGTCCAACAATCCTGCCTGCAAACTTCTCCGTTTCCGGAACACACAAGCTTCTGCGTTTCGCAGTGCGTAATGATCTTGCAAAGGTCCCGATGCGGTCCGTCACTGCTCGGCATTTCGTTATAACGCAAAAAGACAAAGATTTCGGGAGAGAGGTGTGTGTGCAAGGCTGTGTGAGAGAGAGAAATGGGGGGGGGATCTTGCAAGCTTTTGTGGGAGGGGGCGGCGAGTTGTAAAAAGGCTTCAGCCTTAAGCGTGCAGAACAGGAAACTGAGAACATGGGAGGGAAAGAAGAAAGGGAAGAAGAAAGTTTTCACGCCAAGAAAGTTACAGCGTTGTAACACGTTGAGTGAATCCGGCAGCAATGCAAAGCTAAGAAAAGAAGAGTAAAAACTCCGCAATCGAAATTAGGAACCCATGGAAGGGACCGTGAACCCGCGGCGAGGGGGAAGGATATTAAGGTCCGCAAAAAAACAAATCCGCGCGGCGCAAAAGCAAGGAAGAATTAAATCTGACCTTCTTTTCTTTTCACGTCTTGCAGTAAGCCACACAAAAGTCTCAAGTCGTTTTCTGCTGCATTGGCTTCATGGCTGATATTCCTTCCGCAGCCCAAGCTGGATAGAGAGGAGAAAATCGACCCAGCGCTCTCTCCCCCCCGTCCTCATCCGCGCACATACACACACAAAGTAGGAGGGGCAAAAAGGGGGGCAGCTACCCCTGCTTTGGATCCGGATCGTGCTTTTCTTGGTTACAAACCTCCCCACCCCCCCAAAAAAAGAAAATAACTCTGAGAACTTCGGTGTCTCCTTTTCCCAATTGCAAAAAGCCCGATGCAATTGCCTCTCCGAGCGCAACCCCCGCGAAATGCACAAGCTCCCTGCTTGCATAAAATGGAAAAGGGGGGGGTCGCAGAAGAGGGGGGGTCCTGATCACAACCAAGAGGGGCACGAAATAACGATGCTGGTCATTAGTCGAGCGGCACGCCGAAAAAGAAAGAGCAAACTTTTCGCTCGCGCGTCCCTCGACCAGTTGCAAAGCGGCGGCGCTCGGCGAAGGGCACGGGCACAAAAGCGACAGGAAGGGATGACGGCAACGGGGGCGGCGGCCAATAGGAGCCCGGGACGCGTGTGCTTGGCGCTGCAAGTCCGAGCCGCGGACCCGCTCGCGGGCTGGCGGTGGGGGCGGCGTCCGCCAGGTGGGCGAGAACCTGTGGGGAGGGCTGGCGCACGGCTGGGCTCCTCCGGGGTCTCCTCTGTAGAGGGTCCTGTCGCAAAGCCAGTTTCATGTGCTAAAAAAATAATAATTCGAATTGAATACTGAATGTGGACAAGCGTAATCCGGATTGGAAGTGGCTTCGTCACCGTGTCGCTTCTAGGGACGTTTACTCGGAAGTGTTCTCGCCGTATTCGTTGAGGTTCGTTGTTCGCAAGAAAGTATGACCAGGGATACACGCAGAACCTGCAATCCTACACATACTGACGTGCTTAGGACTGCTCTGCTGGGACGGTCTAAGAAGCACTCGCTGTCTCCCCGGAGGATCCGAGGCTGCTGTCCTATAAACAGCAAGATCGCCTTACCTGGGAGTATGCCCCACTGGAAGCAGTAGGCTTACTTGTAGGTAGCCACGCAGGGCATTAAACTAGGTTTTTATGTTCTGTTTCAGTGCTCACGCTTTAACGCAAGACTCCCTTTCCCATACCGACGACAAAGGCTCCTCCTCTGGCTTAATTACGCCTCCTGTGTTTTTACATGCGGCACCTCTTAAAGAAGGGAGCAGCGATCAGGGTTGCCAACTTTGCCACTTGCACCTGCGCCTATGCTTTTAACCGTGGGCCGCTTGCCCAAAGAGCGAGGCAGCTTTTCCCATGATGGAAAAAGGCGTTGCCACGCCGTACTGCGAATCGGGCTGCCGTTAAAGCAGGAGGGGCGCTGGCGTGGATCCGCCCTCGTCTCGCCCCCGGTCCGTTGGCCACCCGGCCCCGGGCTCCCTTCGCAGCCAAGGGCTTTGCCCCGCAGGGAGACGGGCGCGCACCCAGCACGGGCCGGCCGAGCTGCTGGCTGCGTCCGCTTCGCCTGGGCAGACGCCTCGGTGGCAGCGGGGCCGCTGTTCTGGCGAAGCAACGCCGAAACTTCAGAGAAAGGCCCCAGAAGGCCCCCTCCCCGCCTTGTGGTTCTGGCCCAGGAGGAAATGCAGTTCACGTTTCCTTTCCTGGTGCTACTTTAGAATGGCTTTTCCGGTCTTGTTCGAGATCTCCCTGGGGTAAAGGCACGAGGTGCGTTCATGCAACGTACCCCGCGGGAACGTGCTCAGCTTCCGTTCCTCCAGTCGGCGAAGGGGGGGATTTGTTTATGGATTAATTAGATTTCTATCCCACCCGTTCTTTTTTTAAAGAATGCAAAGCGGCTGACATCATTCTCCTCTCCGTTTTATCCCCACAACAGCCCTGTGAGGTAGGCCGATCACAGAGTGTGACTGGCCCAAAGTCACCCAAGGAGCTCCATGACTGGGACTAGGACCCAGATCCCCTGTGTCCCAGCTCTGCTCTCTTAACCACTAGAGCACCCTGGCAGGAATGGCCTGCATTGCTGGGTTGTTGTAAACCCTCCCCCCATGCACATGCTTTGAGAGGACCATCATGGACTAATTTCCAGGAGATTAGATGCAAATAAGAAGATGCATGCAGGAAGGGTAACCTGGTAGGATTTCCCCTTGGCAAATTACCGGTGGGTCAGGCTGCATCCCCCTCCAGCCATCTAAACAAGGTACAGGTTGGGGGTCCTACTGAATGAAGTTGAATGAGAAAGCGGGAATCCTGGGAAATTGAACATAACTCTTCCAGGAGCAGAACCTGTCCCAGAAGTCCCTTTCCTGGTTTTTGGAGATTCCTGCTCACACGGCCTACCCCTTTCAGTAGGGTCTCCTGACCATCAGTGTAGCTTTTAGAGGAAGCTGGGGGGGGGGGGGGGCTGTGGTGGCGGGAGGGGGAGCAAAAGCCCCCTCTTTAGCCATGTGATTTGTATTACGCTCACATATTATTATTAATCATGATAATATTGTTACATGCAACGTTATAATCTGGCAACAATACATTCTACTTTTTTCTCACCATTACAAATTTTGTGGCTTGTGTGAATATATTGTGCTATAGCTCTTGATTTCAGTGAAGTATTTGACAAAGTTCTGCAAGGCATTTGGCATGATCAATAATTGCTAAAGAAATCAATAAATGCTAAAGAAATGCACAAGAATAGACTGGGAACACACAAAATGTATCTCCGGACAGTCCTCTATTGCAGCGGGGTTGGAAAAAGGTAGATCCAGTTTCGGCTGCGTTGAAAGTGCCTTTGTTCTGCACAAAGTAGTCACACCTTAGCTGTCGGAATTTTTTGGAGTTGTGATCTGGTATTTTTATGGCTGAAGTATAACGCAGAATGCTGTCAAATGCTTTGCTGAAATGAAAAGTGATTATTGTATGTCACGATTACTTTATGGGAGGCAACAGGAATAACAGTCCTGAAGAATTAAAACTCTCATTAATATTTTACACGTAATTTTAACATGGCATGGTTAGAGTTGGACAGGGGGTGTAGGAGAGCCAGGTTCTCGTGCCCATTCAGGCATTAGTTTCTTAGCTTTTTGTTTTAAGCTCTGCCTAGCCTACCTCATAGGGTTGTTGTGAGGACAAAATGGAGGGGAGGGAGGTGTTGAAGCCACCTTGGGCCACACGCAAGAGGAAAAAGGGATAGATATACATGTAATATAACAATAATACCAATAACTATATGTGAGAACACTTAGGGATGTTGTTCTTCTTCATTAAAAATGAACAAATCAGTAAATTACTACAAATAAAACACAAATTACGCTATGTTGATATTCTCAGTTCCCCCCTTCTGTCTTCAGTCACCCCCCCACCCCGTGCACCTCGAAGTTTTCATTTGGCCCTTGGGCCCTAGAATTTGTGACTGGAACTGAGAACTGTGGCTATCAGCCTTCAAGTTATTTAGCCATATATCTACCTATATTCAGCCTGTGTATTCACAAATAAACTCCAGTATTCCAAAAGATCAATAGAGCTCTTGGAACTTGCTTCCCTGGAACATCTCACCAGGCGGAGAAATGGTGAATAGCATGATTTATTAAAAATACAGTTATTTGCGCATCTTAATAATTAACATCACCTTTTAGGGGTAGCATTTTGGTGGGTTTGCAAGAATCCTTCCGGCAACAGGCTGCCTTTCCCCTCCATTTTGCATAGAAATAAATACTTTGCCTTGTATCCTCTTTAGTCCAAAATAAAATCAGTGTTCCAAGCGTTGTCTGCCGGCCATTTTTTTTCCTTGGCCTCTTGAAACCATGGTGGCTCTTATTTTACCTCCAGCAAGGAAATGAGAACATATGGCTTCTGAGATAAGAGAGTTATATTTGCTGTCTGTTGAGCAGCCCGGCTACTTTCCACCAGGGCCCATTTATAAACGAAATTGTGCGTAAGCTGCCCATCAGATTGTGATTGTTTCGGTAGTTTTTCCGTCCCGCAGCTCAGTCCCTTCCCCCTACCCCTCATCATCCCAGTTGCAAAGGAAAAACTGCAAATTTCCTGCAGCAAGATAGTTTTGAAGCAAAGGGGGTGGAGAATCAGTTGCAAATCGGCCAAATGTGAGAACTCTCTCTGGATTTGAATACAAGTTTGGGATCAGGCCCCATGTATTCTGCAGGAGGAGGATGGGAACAAAAACTGAGTTTTGCTTTTAAATTTTGGGCCACGGCTATTCAAAATGGTTGGAAATAGGCCTTCCTGTATGAATGGGCTGGACCCAAATTTAGAGTGTGTTCACACCTCCAAAGGGAGCTCAAAAACGCAGGCAGCTGTGCAGACCCGCCTAAAGCCCACCTCTTCCAAGCATGGTTCAGAGATTTGCAAAAAGGGAAAGTGGTGGTGGCGCCCCAATTTTGTAATGTTCTTCCTTGTGAAGTCTGCCTTGCACCAACATTTTCATCTTTTTGTCTCCAGGTTAGGATGTGCCTCTTCTTCCCAGCTTTTGACAGCATATGATCAGGTCCTGGAATTTCATCTTTTATTGTTTTAACTGATTTCGTGCATAAATGGTTTTTATTATGTGTTTTATATTGTTAAGGCTTTGATCTTCTGAAAACTTCCCAGGCAGCTTTGGCTATTGAGGAAAATATAGTACATAATAATGGGGAGTCTTTTGTAAAGCAAGTGGGTCTTAATGGCTCGAACAGGATTAAGCCACCTGAAAATACTTTGCATTAAAATGTGATTGCTTAGAACAGTGGTAGATGGTTGTCAGGGTAAACTGACTTTGAAAAAGCAATTGCCTGGGTTTGCATGACACATTAAGCCATGGGGGTGGGGCATGTTGTCTGAATCCAGGATTCTTACTGTGGTTGGTAGTAGGTTTAATCAACCCGCTGTACTTGATTGTGTTGTCTACATCTGGAGAACCAAATAAGCCATGGTCAAGGCAAAAAGGGAGAGAGTCCCTTAGTAAAGAGCAGTAAGGCTTTTCACTCTAGCCAAGGGGCTAGCAAGCAACTGCCTTTTCCAGGTACTCCCTGCAGGAGCATTGGGGGAAAGAAAGAAAGATTTTCCCCTTCTCCACCACTGGAGGCAGCCACTTAGCGCTGGCTTTGTGAACCTGTTTGGAGGCATTTATTGATTGACTGATTGATTTATATCCTGCCTTTTTCCTACAAAAGGCTCAAGGCAGCTTACATCCTTTTCCTCCTCCATCTTATCCCCACAACAACAACCCTGTGGGGTAGGTTGGGCTGAGAGTCTGTGACTGGCCCAGAGTCACCCAGTGGGCTCCATGGCTGAGCGGGGACTAGAAGCCCGATCGTCTGAGTCCCAGTCCCATGCTCTTAACCACTGCATCACACTGGCTCTCTAGGAGATGTCCCCCCTCCCCCACTCCAATGCTCAGCAGCAGCTTGGTGGGGGGACTGCCCAGAATCCTCCTCTATTTTAAAAAAATTATTCTCCCTTGCCTTTTGCATGGCGCTAACC